TTTCTCGACAATGCACCAAAGAACGATAAATGTTGAGCTCTGATTGGTCAATAGTAAGCTGAAATAAAAAACCTCGACGATGAAAATTCCATAGCAGTTATAAAATTAGCCCAGAGTGTTTTCTGCAACCGTATGTGACTAGTATCAATAATAAATAGTCCGTCATCTAAATTGTGCTAAAATATGTTATTGTAGCGGTGAATTGATCCCCAAAATCAACAGCTTTGTAAGTCTTCGACATTTGATGCTGACCATATTAGCTTTAATGGACTCACCTAGCTGAAAGCTCCCAGTCATTCATCCGCACCGGATCACGAGCGAGAACGCCGTGCTCAACTTCTCCTGCAACTGCTAGCCAGTTAAGATCAGTCACTTCTCGATATATTGGTAGCCTATCAAATATATCTTCAAACCTCCCCGCTTATGACTTTTGATTTCACTGGGTGGTAACGATTCATTTATAGAAGGTCTTACTGACTAAAGCGATGTCAAGACCCAAATACCAGTGGCATCTTCATTGGTGAGCCAACGTGATCTGGCACACTTACTTGTAAACCCTAGGTCTGTTCCGTTTTGGAATTTCACGTATCATTGTAATATTTTAATTTTTATATGTTGTGATGTTTTTTCGTGTTTCTGAATATTTTTTCCTCATTCATTCCTGTACCTCATATTCAACATGACAGAACAAACACCTAAAGTACTTAAGTTCAAGACTATGACTCTAAATTCATTTCAACTAATACCCTTATGGTCGGACAACTTCAGACGCGTGGTTCTACTATGCAGAGGCCGACTTCTACAGGCACAGCATGACCAATACACGTGCACCATCCCTTGCAGTAGTAAAGACATTACTGCGCGAATTCGACAGTACGTAACACCTAGTATGTTTACTAGTGATGTTTTGGAACCTTTCGAAACTCTAAAACGATCTACCCTAAAATGTGGAGGCCTAACCGATCAACAAAGGTTAGATCAACTTCTTATTAATATCTATCTGCTACACAGTTCAGCGACAGACATGTTGCTAAGACTGAGAGAAGTGACTGGTCAAAGAACTTTTCTTGCCTAAACTTCCTCAACAGGTGCAGGCTGTGGTTGCTTCGTTTCAAAACAACGCCGTAGACGGGCTGGCTGCACCTGCTGACCATATTTTAGAGATTACCAAATCTTCTAACGACGCGGTTTTTTCAATCAAAGAAAAACCTCAAACGACACAGACTTACATTACGGAACTATATCATACGCTGATGCGTTACCTTCAAATTTATAATGACCGTAAGCGAACACAAACCCCACGAAGTTCTTTACGAAAACGGTCTGCCTATACTCCACGATAGACAAATACATCTTCAAACATCCTCGCTTATGACTTCTGATTTCACTGGGTGGGTATTATTCATTTCTAGAAGGTGTTACTGGTAAAAGTGTTGTCAAACTCCGAATGCCTGTGGTATCTTCAGTATATTGTACGGCTTTAAGTGAAACAGAATTTAGACTAAACGTTTACTCCAAGTCTGTAGCAAAGGCTATTAGAACAGACAAGAATCCACTGATCAAGTTTTTATGTACCTCAGAAGTCATTTCCAAAAAATTTAGTAGCATACTTCAGACATTCCATAAAATCACCTATATTGAAGACCAGCTAACTTGATTTTGGCTTCTAGCTAACAAGTTCATGTCAATCACTCAGATGTCGATACACGAATTTCAAAGTTTGAAGTTTGAAGGAGTATGGAAAATTTATATATGGCCAGCAAACATAATGTTATAGATTCCCGTGAGCCAGAAACATTAGGGCGTGTTGATTCTCAACAGCATACTTACAACAGATCATTTTTGAAAAACGACAGTCGAAAGTTAACGAATCTAGAGGCTCCAAAAATATTTCCTTATACATTTACGTCAACTCCGCCTGTAGCTAATATAGAGCTCCTGCTGGTCCCAAGCCAAGGTAATGGATGAGTGTTTGGCATGCAGTCGTAAACCCAAAACCGGACAAAACCACCCTCTTAAGAAACACTAACCAGACTAAACAATAAAAATACCCCAAATCTATCCTTCGAGTTGGAGGATGGTCATTCAGAAGAATTATGAGACCTCATGGAGAAAAACGAGATTCTTGGGACGTCATGATGGAAGACGTGAGAATCAGGAGAGCAACTGAAATAGCTTCAGATCAAAATTAGCTAGTAGTTGCCAAGATGAAACTGAAGCTAAAGAAACAGTGGACAACGGGGAACCAACATTACATAGGTTCAATGTAGCCTTCCTTCGAGATACCGTCAAACTCAACGAATTCAAGACAACTCTCAACAACAAGTTCCGAACCTTACAGGATCTACTGAAAGAAGAAACTACTATGAACCGCAACTACAAAGGGATCAAAGAATCACCGACTTCAACAAGTCAAGAGGTTCTTGGCAGCAACAAGCATCATCATCATAAGGAATGGATCTCTATCAAAACCCTAGACAACATTCACGAATGAAACAACAAGAAGGTAGCAATTAATAACAGCCGAACAAGAGCAGAAAAAGTCAGGGCACAGGCTGAATACACAGAAGTAATCAAGAGAGTGAAGAAAAGCATTAGAGCTGACAAGTAGAAATGTGTGGGAGACATAGCAATGAAAGCGGATAACTCGGCAAGTGAAGGAAATATGAGACAACCATGTGATGCAACGGGGAAACCAGCGGGGAAATATAGTGAACCAGAGAGACCGGTCAAGAACAAAGAAGGCAAGCCAATCACCGAGATTCAAGAACAGAGTAACAGAAGGGTAGGATAATTCGAGGGACTCTTGAATAGACCAGCTCCACAGAATCCATCGGACATCGAAGCAGCACACACAGACCTCACTATAGATGTCACTCCAACAACGATGGAAGAAATCAGGATGATCATCAGATAAATCAAAAGCGGGAAAGCAGCAGGACCTGACAATATACCAGCTGAAGCTCTGAAGCCAGACATAGAAGTAACTACAGGTATGCTTCACGTTCTATTCAGGAAGATTTGGGAGGAGGAACAAGTGCCGACGGACTGGAAAGAAGGACACCTCATCAAGATACCAAAGAAAGGAGATTTGAGCAAATGTGAGAACTACAGAAGCATCATACTACTGTCAGCACCAGGAAAAATTTCCAACAGTGTGTTATTGAACCGAATGAAAGATTCAATGGACGCCCAACTTCGAGATCAACAGATTGGATTCCGTAAGGATCGGTCGTGCACAAACCAAACTGCGACACTATGGATCATCGTTGAGCAATCAATTGGATGGTACTCGTCACTATACATCAACTTCCTTGATCATGAGAAGACGTTTGATAGCATGGATAGAAAAACCTTGTGGAGCTTTCTTCGACACTATGGAGTACGTGAAAAAATCGTCAGCATCATCCAGAATTCATACGACGGACTACACTGCAATATCGTGCATGGACGACAGTTAACAGACGCGTTCCGATTGAGGACTAGTGTCAGACAAGGCTGCTTACTCTCCCCTTTTCTTTATCTTCTGGTGATTGGCTGGATTATGAAGGCCTCCACATCTGAGGGGAAGCACGAAATACGATGGACAGCTTAGAATCAATTAGACGATTTGGACCTGGCCCTCCTATCTCATACACACGAACAAATGCAGATCAAGACAACTAGTGTAGCAGCAGCCACTGCATCAGTAGGCCTCAACATGCACATATGAAAAAGCAAGATCCTCAAATAAAACACGGTGAACACCAACCCAATCACACTTGATCGAGAAGCTCTAGAAGATGTGGAATATTTCACGTACCTGGGAAGCATAATGGATTAACAAAGAGGGTCGGATGCAGACGTAAAGGCGAGGACTGGCAAAGCAACGGCCACATTCCCACAACTGAAGAACATATGGAACTCAAAACAACTGTCAGCCGACATCAAAGTCAGAATCTTCAATACGAACGTCAAGACAGTCCAACTGTACGGAGCTGGAACTTGAAGGACTACCACAACAATCCCCAAAAGATAAAGGTATTTCTAAGCAATTGTCTACGTAAGATACTCAATATCCGTTGGCCGGATACCATCGGCAACAGCCTACTGTGGGAGAAACCAAGCCAGCTTCCAGTTGGAGAAGAAATTAAGGACAGATGTTGGAGGTGGACAGGACAAACTTTGTAAAAACCACCAAACTGCATCACGAGGCGAGCCTTAACCTGTAATCCTGAGGGGAAATTGAAACGAAGAGGAACAAAGAATATTGCTCTTGGAGTTCCGAAGCGGACATCAAAAGGTAGAATAGCAAATGGAAAGTACTGGAAAGGATTTTCCAGTGTAGAGTTTCATAGAGGCTGCCGGTGGGAGGCCTATGCTTCTCCACGAGGTGTAACAGTTGTTAGTGACTTAGTAGGGGTAATCTTATCTCCCTTTAAGTTGCTCTGGACAACGCTTCCTCGATCCAAGTACTGAAAGCGTAAGCATTATCATGTATATCTAGATGCTGACTAGTAAAGTTGCCCTCTTAAGCATGCTTTTCGGCTGCAATTTATAAGTACAATGGCTTTTGATGACAAGATTTTTGAATACAATTAGCTTTTCTGGCATAAACATTTACAACTGACCCAACTACACATTTAAACGGTCAATTTAGTTTGAGCTTCAGAGTCTCACTACTTTCAGTCACCATAAAATATATCGCTATCCACCAAAATGTCGACAACCCGGGCTTTGACAAACGCTACCTTAATACTAACTTGTTATTTATCAAAAAAGACTTACAACCAGGAAACTTGGTAAAATAAAAAATGACCGTAAACCTTCAAGTCTATAAACTGTATTAAGAATACAGTTTTAGCTAAAAGGGAGTACATAAAAAAACGTTCATGAGAGTGAGACTTTTCCAATAATATGCTTTCTGAAACTGCTAAACTAAATACAGTGGTCTTGACATTTAACAAATAGTTAAATTATGGACGCTTTAAGTCAGTACACTAAAAGCCAGTGGCAAAAGCCTTTTACAATGAATAAACATTCATTTGGAATCTTCACGAACAACCGTTTAGTACTTTGAGTGACCAACGATTGCGCGCGTATCAAATCGAAGTGTTTTGGCGGGTTCGTTTGGTTTCGCCGGTCAGTACAGAAGTAGGGTTGCTTTAACCAAGTGTTTTTCAAATTATACTGCTATAGGACTGTTCTTCAAATATTGTTATGAATGCTACGTTGCATCAAGACAAGTGGGATGAGAGAGGCTTCGGCGATGCACCATTGTGTGCGTTCAAAAATTCCGGGAGCAAAAGAAACCATTTATACTTTGAAGGTGAAAGGGATGTTTGTAAAAAGCCGAGATTATCTGCTAAAGGGCAAGATTGCGTTTCGACTGTCAGTTCGAAGATTGCAAACCGCGAACGCACTGATGCCAATGGATACCAAAAACATTTAGGCAATAAATTGCCGCTAAAAAAGGAATATGAGTTAATGAATGATCCTACACAAAACCACGTAATAACTATTCATGAAACCTACCAACTTGGTTTCCTGAATATAATGGAAAACAATAGTGAGAGAAAGCTATATACTTTTGACTTCGTGGATAGCTTGGAAGTCACTTATCCGGTAAGTATCACTTCGTCGGACGCCTTGCCTATTGATCTCCCTCCTCTTTTCATGGAACCGGAGTACTCCGATCAACTTACAGCCCTCGCCAACGATGCTCTCAATCAACTTACTCAACGTATTAATAATTGGTTGGTTGCTTGTCAAGAATCGGATGAGAAATTGACACTTTGGCGGCATATGAGCGCACACCGAGCATCTGCAGAGCTTAGATATCAAACCCTTCGCCTCCTGAATATACTTGAACCCCACTTCCAGCACACTAAATTTGATCCTCAATCTCCCAACGTCGATAAACTTTTTTCCTACATTTTAAAAAACTTGGAATTAGGTCATTCTGCTGAAAGTACTGAGGAATTGGATTTCCCAAAAAATAATCCCGTCGTTTCTTTATGCCCAGATCCTGAACACTGCCTCAGTAATTTACGGCATATTGTGCTAAGTCTTTTGCAAAAGCTCCTCCCACAGTTGGTACTCCCAAAAGATTTTAATTCTAAAGATGATTTAGTTCCACTTATCAATTCAGCTTGTGTTTATAATTTAGATGTGTGATATGAACATCAAGAACTTATGACCACGTTTTGATGGAAAATTAAAGTGTACATATTACTTATTATTTTTATGTGTATTTTGTGCTAGCTCATCAAATTTCATAGATTGTGGTTCTGCCACTATGTAAATAATTTTTTCACAAATAAAGATATATTTTATGCAGTATGTGTTTTGCATTTTAATGTATCATTTGTGTGTTATAACCGAGACCATGATGGTTGCTGTTAGTCCAAGAGTATCAATTATTTAACTATGATAATAAAGGCTAGTTTCTCATTCTATTACTAATTGCAGTACATTCCTGTCGGGTTTAAAAAACGTGAACACCTCTTACTGAGGTATATAGATAGGAAATGTCATGTACCTGGCCCTAGACAGTCTGGTAGTTTTAAGCATATACTTATTTCGTTATTGTAAAACACATATCTTTGAAATACAATTAGCGATTCATGTGTAGGATGCATTTTTTCCATATGTACAAAATGTTGCTTCAGAAATGGTTTCGGTTAACGCCTATATGGTTATAGGGAATAAAGTAGTTAAGCGTGTTGTGCAGTTTGCTCACCCAAATTGCGTCATCTGTGACGGAACCGAGATGCCAATTTGCCAACAAGGCTGACTGCTCAGCATTCCGTTCTGCATTGTTCCGTTTGTGAAATACATGCTTTAGAAATAGGAGTAAGCTGCAGATTTGCGACCGACTGTACTTTCGAAGCATTATGTTGTTGAACAACCGAGTATTACTGTGGTTAGTTGTAGAGTACTAATTAAACATGGCAAATCCGTTAGTGAGCTTGTAAAACTTCATATGAGGGTCTCGGCATGTGCTACGTATTTCCGACTACCCGATACCTTGGTGCTCAATGACTGTAGTAGGGAGTAAGAAAAACAAAGTGACGTGAGCTTCAGTAGTATTTCAGGTCTTTACTCTTCGACTTCAAGCTGTATTTTTCATTGTTTGGTCTTTCTCATTATCATCGGCAACTATTATTATTCGTCTCTTCAATTCCACCGTACGCTCTTTGTTGAGTATGATTGACACTTATTTCAAAGTAACAGTATGAAGAGTTGTTTGCTTCAATTCACCAGCCTCCCAAATAAACGCATATCTTATTTCTAGGAGAAGTTTGACTATAATCACATCTGGCTATCGTATGAATAGTTAGAATCTAATAATCTCTCAACTGTTACTTCACCGTGATCAGTGTATTATTCAGTATAACAGGACCAACAGAAAAGTCTGTCCCCTATGTGAACATGGTAAATAATAGACTTAATTTCGTTTCACTACTCAATTTTTTAATAATCATACTATATGAACATGGATAAGACTGCACGTGTTACATGTTATTTAGAAACTGCCCAGTTAATTAACTCAATTCAAATTTCTATAAAATCTCACTATCCATAATCTCTATGTAGTCGATTTATGCGTACAGTTGTGGAGGAGGAAAAAGTAAGTTCTATCAAGAGTTACTATCAATCTAAGCTAGGATTCTTTTAGCTAGACTGAAAAACTTAAGTTGATATAAGTCTATGCTACCACCTTCGTCAACCTATCCTTGTTTAAGTCGCCAATATGTCTTGAAAGTTTTAACCGGTTTGTATTTTAGCCAACAATGACTAGCTTCTTGATGTGACCTTACAAATTGTTTCAGCGTACCAGTCTTAGTACTATATTTCGCCAGGGAGAGATCAGAAAAATATGCTTACGTTTTTTAAGCTCGGTATGAAACTCTTGATAGCTTATTTTTACAATACTCAGCTAGGAATGAAACATTAATAGCACTTTCCGTTTTTTGAGGTTTTTTAAACCAGTAACATACAACTATAAACGTTAAGTATTTAATTTTCACTGTTGTATATATATCCTTCTTGAGAATAAAAGAGCATCATAAAACTGTCCACATTCAATGTTATCCAAATATCAACCTACTCTACTTTTTTCAGTAAAACTTTCGTACAAAACACCAAAGATAAAAATGTGACCACTAAATTGCATTACTATGATGTACACTTTGTTGCTTGATGACATATGCTAGTGGTTGATTGATGACTGGACCTCTAGAAAACTGCCAGCTCTCTAAAGCGCTACAATGAAAGCAACCACATAGTTATATTGCCTTAACGTATTTTATCAAATATTAAGACAATATACACTACATTTATTTATATAAATTGAAACCTAAAAAAAATAGATAATAGGCAAAAATAAATATAGCCTTAATATTGAAACTCAGTTACAGTGTGGTGGTCAAAAACACTACAACTTTAACCAATCATTATCATCACTAAATAGTCGTAGACTTATTATGACAGGAAAACGTGGCTAAATGACGGCTGTCTACCAAAGCCTAATTGTTGACACGACCTGTCAAATAATGAAGAGATATCAGAAGACTAAAAAAGTTGGTGAACGATAATGAACTCTAGAGACAATACTTCTTGGTTTCTAATAACTTCTCAGCTGTTTTCAGTTCATGATACAAAAGAATAGATCTTCAAATCTAAATGATCCCTTTAAACGCCGTTTACGAACGAATTAAACCTCTATTTCAAGGTATTATCCGTACAATATCTTTATCGAAGAACTTAAACTCAATGTTCATCCATAAATCTAATGATTAATCAGTAAACGTTCCTAATCTAGTTTTTATTTATTCAATGAACTTATCTAAATACTGGTTTTTTATAAGTTCCAGTTGTTTTATACAGTAAATTATCCTGTTTACGTAGTGTAGAATTTTAACCCAGCAAACCTGTATATCCATCTTCAGACTTGCATAGTTAATGTAACTCGGTGGGTTTGAAACAATATAATGGAATAGCACTAATCCGATTAAGTCTAGAACCTCGACAAGACATAATCAAGAGCTCAAATTTGAAGTACCCAGTATGAGATTGTATTGTATTATTATGGTCGGTTAAAACACAACAAAAATTTAACTGTGCAGTAAATGTATTGGCTATTCACCGCATCCACTACACGATTGTCGGCTTATGTGTCTATGATGTAGTATGGGTTTATTTGTAATTCTGTTAGCTCTCGATTGTCTAGCATCCTGATTTTTATTTTCAGAATCAGGATTAGCTAGAGAATGATCATAATTAAAATTGGGATCACCTACTTAATAAACCTTCACTTGGCCTGTATGTCTACTGTGAACTGAATGGTCATTTAAACGAAGAATCTTCACTGTCCGACTTTCCACTTTCTGATTTACAATCTCTGTAGATGGTCGGTATTCATTTCCTTGGTAAAATTGCACTTCTGGTGATATTTTGTTCACTAAATCAGTTCGAAATATGCGAGATTTAAAGAGTTTAGCCAGGCTGTCATGAGTTCTTGAATGTTCTGCATTACGATGTTGAACATGAAATGATCGATGCATTTTTATGGCTCTTCAATATTATTTGCATTCACTGATGTGATAGCACTCTTTAAAGTTCGAACGAACTTTTCTGCTAAACTGTTAGACTGATGATGTCGTTGAGCTGTAAATAAACGACGGCATCCAATATCAGTAAGCCAGCTGTTAAACTTTCTGTGAAATCGGTCCTGTTATCCTTCACTAATATATCGGGTATTCCTTCACAATTAGATACATTCCTCATCGCTCTTTGAGTCAAGCGTTCCCTATGACTGTGTGTGGGTATCACTTCTGGCCATCTACAACATGAAACAATAATTACTAAAGCATAGTAGGAGTTTAAGGATGGGCCACAATAATCCGCATGAATACGTTGCCACGATCCATAATATTCAGGCCGAGGATTCAAAATAGGTTTATTATACCATAGCTTATGTAAACAGGAAGGACAGTTCTTCGATTTCCGACTTATGTCAGCATTAATATCAGACCACCAACAATCCTGACGAGCAAATGATTTCATTTCCTCTGCTCCCAGATGGGCGGAATGAAGGTCGTCTAATACTGCAAATCTAAATGTAGGGGAGTGGTTACTCTATCATTAAAACACGAAAAACCACTAGTATGTAGTAATGTGTCTTCCCTCCTTTTGTAGAACTCAGGGAACCTACAGTTGCACCGAACATTTCAACCTCTTTTTACTGTACTTATGATAATTCCTAAATACTTGCGAGTATTGTTCACAAGTTCTGCAATATCAGCAGGTAATGGTTGAACCAATGTTCAATCACTTTCGGGGCAGCGACACCAGCCCCCAAATGCCCTGTTACGGCCGAGGGTGGGGAGAGTCAGCTCTCACTCTTGAAATGCGCTCATATGGCCACGTGTGTACAGCAACTGCCACGGAAGTCGTACTCACTGCCTTCTCGCGGCGGGGATGTTTACGAAATTGAGAGGACGAAAAGCGAGTGTCCGGCGCCTTAACTGAGTTAGTGGATATAGAGGATCCACCTATGGGAGTTAGAAAACCCTGATTCCAAACCAATGATGCACATGGTCCCCAGTATTCTGAGGGAACAAATGGCGTATGAACCAATTATTGGTCACCGGTTATCATGGAACTGTATCTCCTGACGTTGCTCCACTGCCTTGTGGACCAGACCTTTAGGTCGAAGACTCCGGGTACAGCCCCCTAAGAAAACCACCTGCTTCGGTCTGGGTACCCGGGCAGTATCACAGCCCACACACAAATCAAGTGACTTGTGTGGCGCGTATGTATTAGGTGCCCCTTTGTACTAATATTTATCTATTCAAACAAATAAATACACTTTCGACCGGTGGTTTTTCGAAATGTGAATAGCGTGGTAGAAAATCTGCATATGGTGTGCTTTTGGCCACTCAGTGCTCAATAGTGAAATAATGAGCACTCAACTCTACATTCCTTCTCTGGACCGTGGCAACGGATGGCCAGTAAAGTAAGTTAGCTGGATAGTAAATAGACTTTAACGCCTGATGATTATTTACAATATGGAGTTTCACATCAAACAAATATTGATGCAGTCTTTTTACTGCTCATACTATAACTAAGGCCTCCTTTTGTGTCTGCGAATATCAATGTTCACTCTTGCTTAACCATTTCAAAATAAAAATCACAGGTTTCCTACTCCGCTCTAGGACTGCACCTAATCCAGTTGTAGATGCATCTATAATAAGGATAGATTGTTCAGTCGGTGTAAACAGTTTCGGGAAAGCCTTACCAGTTAAAAACCGTAAAGTGTTCCTCGTTCCCATACAAATTCTCTACCAGACACCAGGTCGGAAAGGGAAGAGTCAGTCAGTCAGCTACAACGTAGGACCAGGCACATATGTGCATCGGTCCAGGTTGCCATACCGCATCAGCACAACAAGATGAACACGGATTCATAGCAATGGTTAGGTCAAAGGTGGTAATAAATAAGAGGAAGATTGCATATAGAGATATAGTATAAGAAGAAAGAATTGGTTCGTAAAAAGAAAGATATGAAGTGGTTTAATCTTTTAGTTTAAAGGAAGATAGAGAGTGTATACACCGACGCCATTGTGATCGATTCTGAGCCATGTCACCTAGAGTCTCCAACCATTGGTTACGAAAGTCACGCGGACCCCAACCAAGTAGTCTGCATCTACCAACATGGCTCAGACTAGAAGTTAGTGATTTCAAGCACTGATGCCACGTTTTTGTTTGGCCGCCCTAACTTTCTTCCAACCATCTCCAATACCGGATAGCATTGCACGTCGTGGTAATCGGTGTTCATGCATACGTAATACGTGGCCCAACCATCTCAGTCGATGAAGATTCATAACCTCATCAACTGATTTACCATCATTCCCTAATACCCTGCGTAATATCTCCGAATTCTGAACTGATAAACAAATGTTATCAGCATCGACAATAACATCTTGACATGAGGTAACATTCATTTTTAAAGTCAGCATTCTTTCTAACCAAATATGTACAATAAGATATATCCCGATTGCACGTTGAATATGCTCACGTTCGTTATTCGGTAATCGATAGATTAAATCCATATCATTACATGTCAATATTTGCATTTTATTACTACTAGTAGTAGCATTAGTAGTATGTTTTGTTATCTCGTCTGATTGCTCCAAGAATGATGAATATGGTTGTATTAACAGACGAGCATCTGTAGCTAATGTAGATAGTAGAGGAAGTGCTGATTGAATACGACGTAATTCATTTTCAAACAGGTCTAGAAATATTGCACTAATCTATTTTTGGTAGACGGGACCAAATATCAGAAAACAAAAAAGTCAAAAAGTTATTTCTCCCAATGTATAATACCCACACAATTAACTAATAATAAGAACTATATGATAGACGTTCACAATAAAAAATTTCGTAGCAAATTTCTTTCATTATGAAATCATATTAATTGATAAATTAAGTGAATGGGAAAAATGAGGTGAAAACTATGGAAAAGCAGTGATCTTGAGCAATTGTTTGACCTCGGACATCCAATCGGAACATTGATATTTACGCAAGTAAGCTTCCCTAAAAAGTTGAAAACATACTACGCTACATACATAGAGTCTGAATGATTGTTTGTAAGCTTATCTGTAAATTATTTATGTTTTAAATTAAACAGTTTTCGTATGAGTACTTCTTTACATAGCTTAATGATGTCGATCATTCAGAGTACTTATATACTCTAGTAAATAATTCCATTATCAGCTACACATCCCACTCATAAAATTCACGTGGATAAAATACCTTAATCTCAGTACCACATTATGACTATAACAAATCCGATGGTATAGCTGAATTTGCTGACAATGTATCAGGTGATTCAATACACAGTAAAGTCTGATGATGATCTAATTGATCCACAATGTGAATCTTCTTTATTTCAAAAATCACATTGGGATTCTACTACGTTCAAGGGACTCAATGAGTTCCCGAATTCCAATCCAGGTTTCACTGAAGCGAAAGCAACCCGAGAATTTACTAATGATTGCATAAAACAGACTAGCAGATAACCTAAAAATCACTAGAAATCTTTACGCCGTAAAATCCACTCTAATGTAAAAACACTTAGAAGACATGTGTTTAGTTAAACAAACCTTTAAAAATTAATATCAGTGACTTAGAAAGGAATCTCCTAGAGAGGAAGTTTGCTGTTAAAAACAAACCATTGGAAATTAAATCACTTTTTATGGATTATGTGGATATGGTATCCAAAAACAGACCTGAGAAAACAATGGAAAAATTAGTGGGAACTCTGGAATCAAAAACCGAGAAGGTAATTTTCTTTAGACTCAAAACAGTGTTGAGTTAGATTTGGTTCAATTCGAATCCTTTTGCTTCTGACTAGACGAGGTTGTCAGGCTTAATACCACGTTAGTCGATAGTTGCCAACACCACGTATGCTAAACACGCAACATGAGGGGGCTTGAACATAGCTAAGCAAAGATTATACCTTGGCCATAACTAAGTCACATAAGGGAGTTGCAGTTTTAATGGACAAAACGGAAAACATTGATAAAGTGGATTTGATGCTTAATGATCTTACTAAACTTCAAGAACTTATTGATATTAAAAACATCAATGAAAAAGTAGGCTAACAGATGGCTAGTTCTCTCAGAAAACTTGGAACGAATGAGGATAATTTCATCTGAGATGTATGATTCACTTAACCAACTGGATTAAACACACCACGACTCAACGGTCTACCTAAATTTTAAAAGTCGGGTCTTTTTCTTTGTTCAGTTCTAAATACATACAATTCTCTATATCGAAAATCGCTAACTGGTTAATTTGAATCCTAGAGCCTCTGAACAAATCAGTCGTAAAAACAAGTGTTAATGACGTTCTTGACTTCACTTCCGACGTGGAAGGAACGAATGTTATTAAAGAAAAACATTATTTCTCTAAACGTCGTATCTTTATTTACTAATGTACTACAACTAATCGAGAAAATCGAGTTCATATGTAAACAAATATCAGAAAGACAAAACAGTGGCTCCCCTGAGGATAGTCTAAAAGAACTATTCCTAATATGTTTGATGAACGGTCATTTTGTCGGTAACAATATTTATAATGGGAAAAATCGATGTGATAGCTATGAGTTCACCACTGGACCCGATTTCAGTCTATTGCTTGTTAACAAACTTAGAAAACAAACCCCTCAATGAGGTTTTCGACAGGCTAGATCTATACTGCCGATACATTGACAACACATTTATCATCGTAGATCACAATATTCATAAAGAACTTTTAAACTAGTTTAACAGTTGTTAGGTATGCAGAGGAATGTACCAATAATTATCGTGTTAAGTCTATGGTGGCCTTGGACTTTAAATGTAAATTCCCTATTGGCTATTATTTAATTCATTTGTTAAATATTGTACAATGTTATTTCCTATTTTATCGTACGATGTGGTCTGCTTGATTAGTATATAAACAGTGTGTTTGAAATATAATGATTCATAACTCAGAGGCTGTGACTTGTGTTCCTGACTCAACTGGCTGGGACAGACTGCGAAGCGGGACCAATCAGGGCTCTGGGTCGTCCATACGTGTTTCCCGTGTTACTGTGATCGATCGATAAAACGCTGCTTATCAAAACCTGCAGTCACACGTTACAACAACAGTGTACATCTGGCCTTGGTGGAGACGAGTGTGACAACAAATCAGATTTCCTTGACATCTCATTAAGTAGATAAAGTGAGGGCCCGTTAAGCAGAAACGTGTAAAGAAAAATTTCCCGTGTCAATACACACCCATACTCTACAAAAGAAATCTAGTTAGATGTCTCACAAGCAGAGCAAAAAAGATCTTAGATGATACCATAAAAGAGTTGGGAAATATTAATAAGCTGACGGACATAGAGTACCAGAAATTTTTTTAAGAAGTGCATATATAGAAAGAGAAACAAGTTGGAGATATGAACCGATAGTAAGAAACCCCCTTTCCTCAAGTTAAAATTCAACTGGATTATGCCTTGTGATATACTGCATAAAGCATTAGCGATGATAGTTAGATGAACATTTTACGCAACCAATTAAACCAGTGATATCTACTCAAACAAAGTATAAATTCTCCTCTCCGCTCTCCATCTATAAATTCAGCTGCTACCGAAGAGATGGCTATAGTGGACAGACTACAAGACAACTTAACTAACGAACGAGTGAACATCTTCCATCTTGACTTTGAAAGGACCAGATGAAGATAATACGCAATTCTACCATGCCATAACTGGTTGACAGTGGTCATAAGGTATATAAAACTAAATCATTTCAGATGATCTATCATATACCATCGCCGTTTCCCAATGGGATTTGATCTCGTCTTCCATATATACCAGAGGCAATAGGGATCTGAACCTATAACCCTAGTTTATGTGTTCAGAATAAATTAGTGATACATCTGTCCTGTATATGTTTATCATTTTTCACTTCCTTTCACTTATATGCTTCACTATCCAATTACTTATACAATTCTTATTAAGTAATTTTAGTAGTGTTTTGTGATTATTATTTTGAAGTTTATTTATCCAAGTTTGATTTCATGTGTTGAACTAATGAATAGAACCTTTGTTATTTTATTATTCTTAACAGTACTAGTACACCTGTCCTATCATCACCAATTTGTAACTTTTACCTATAATATGTAGTTATGCAATTTATTTCATTGTGATCATTGACTAATGCTGAGAATTCTAAATTGTACTAAATATATAGTATTGAATAAATTTATTATTATCATTACAAATTACCTTGCTTGGTCTAACATTTTCATATAACCAAAACAGATTATGAATTGTTAGGTCTGTCTATCAGAAAGATTGGTATTTTCAAACCCAGTCAACCTGAGATATGAATCAATTTTGAATGTTTAGTTATGGAATGCATATATATATATATATATATATATATATATATATATATATATAATCAATTAAGAAATGATAGCTTCAGATAATCGAACTTGAAAAACGTCAACAGACAAAGTGATACCTATTTAAAATATGATTTAGGTGTTTAATCACGAAATGACATTAGTGAGATGTCTGAGATTCAGTGTGGTACTGAGAGACTGTTTTATTCTAGTCTACGACTTCATAACTCCGCCTGGAGTCCCTCCGGGGGCTACTGCCGGTCCCAAGCCCGGATAAAGGAGGAGGGTTGGGCATGGGGTTAGCGTCCCCATCCCGTAGAAAACTAACTCGCTAAAAAAACGCTAACCAGAAAAAATTATTCAAACCTTTTAAACTCTGCCCTGGGAGTCAGAAGGTCTTCATTTAGAAGAATTATGACGCCTCATGATGAAAGCCGAATTCCTTCGGAAGTTACGAGGCCGATGCCCCTTCTGACAACCAGAGCGACCATTTATTTAGGTACATGGAATGTTCGTACAATGTGGGACACCGGGAGAGCCTTCCAAATTGCTGCAGAAATGAGAAGATACAACCTAGAGGTACTTGGGATCAGTGAAACACATTGGACACAAGTTGGACAACAACGACTAACTACAGGAGAGCTCCTGTTATACTCCGGCCATGAAGAAGAAAATGCACCACATACACAAGGAGTTGCATTGATGCTGTCCAAACAAGCGCAAAATGCACTTATAGGATGGGAATCTCATGGACCAAGGATCATCAAAGCCTCGTTCAAAACAAAGAAAGAGGGCATTTCAATGAACATCATCCAATGCTATGCGCCTACCAACGACTACAATGAAGACGCTAAAGATCAATTCTACAATAGGCTGCAGTCAATCGTCGAGAAGTGCCCAACAAAGGACCTGACTATTCTGATGGGAGATTTCAACGCCAAGGTTGGAACGGACAACACTGGATATGAAGACATCATGGGACGACACGGACTGGGAGAAAGAAACGAAAATGGTGAGAGATTTGCAAATCTATGTGCCTTCAATAAACTGGTCATAGGCGGCACCATATTCCCACATAAACGCATACACAAAACCACATGGACTTCACCGGATCACTATACACAAAACCAAATCGACCATATTTGCATCAACAAAACGTTCAGGAGGACTATAGAGGACGTGAGAACCAAGAGAGGAGCTGATATAGCATCAGATCATCACTTGCTGGTCGCCAAGATGAAATTGAAACTCAAGAAGCACTGGACAACGGGGCGGACAATATCACAAAAGTTCAATACGGCCTTTCTTCAGGATACTAACAAACTCAACAAATTCAAGATAGTCCTCAGCAACAAGTTCCAGGCCTTTCATGATCTACTCAATGGAGAAGGAACTACTGTGGAGAGCAACTGGAAGGGGATCAAAGAGGCAATCACTTCAACATGTCATGAGGTCCTGGGTCACAAGAAGCACCATCACAAGGAATGGATCACTGTTGATACACTGGATAAGATTCAAGAAAGGAGGAACAAGAAGGCAGCAATCAATACCAGTCGAACAAGAGCAGAAAAAGCCAAGGCACAAGCTGAATACACAGAAGTAAACAAACAAGTGAAGAGGAGCATCAGAACCGACAAACGTAAATATGTGGAAGATTTAGCAACGACGGCGGAAAAGGCTGCAAGAGAAGGAAACATGAGACAACTGTATGACACGACAAAGAAACTCTCTGGAAATCGCCGCAAACCAGAACGACCAGTGAAAAGCAAGGAAGGCAAGGTAATCACCAACATTGAAGAGCAACAAAACAGGTGGGTAGAACACTTCAAAGAACTCTTGAATCGACCAGCTCCACTGAACCCACCCAACATCGAAGCAGCACCCACGGACCTCCCAATCAATGTTGGCCCACCAACAATTGAAGAAATCAGCATGGCCATCAGACAAATCAAGAGTGGCAAAGCAGCAGGACCGGACAACATTCCAGCAGAGGCACTAAAAGCAGACGTAGCGGCAACTGCAAGGATACTCCACATTCTCTTCAATAAGATTTGGGATGAGGAACAAGTACCAAAAGACTGGAAAGAAGGACTTCTGATCAAAATACCGAAGAAAGGCGATCTCAGCAACTGTGATAACTACAGGGGCATCACTCTTCTCTCAATACCGGGAAAAGTCTTCAACAGGGTATTGTTAAACAGGATGAAGGACTGCGTAGACGCCCAACTTCGTGACCAACAGGCAGGATTCCGTAAGGATAGATCGTGTACAGACCAAATCGCAACTCTACGGATCATTGTGGAACAATCAATTGAATGGAATTCATCACTCTACATCAACTTCATTGACTACGAAAAGGCATTTGATAGCGTGGACAGAACAACACTATGGAAACTTCTTCGACACTACGGCGTGCCTCAGAAGATAGTCAATATCATACAGAACTCATATGATGGATTAAACTGCAAAATCGTGCATGGAGGACAGTTGACAAAGTCGTTCGAAGTAAAGACCGGTGTCAGGCAAGGTTGCTTACTCTCACCCTTTCTCTTTCTCCTGGTGATCGACTGGATCATGAAGACGTCAACGTCTGAAGGGAAGCACGGGATACAATGGACATCTAGGATGCAGTTGGATGATCTAGACTTCGCAGATGATCTGGCCCTTCTATCCCAAACGCAACAACAAATGCAGGAGAAGACGACCAGTGTGGCAGCAGCCTCAGCAGCAGTAGGTCTCAATATACACAAAGGGAAAAGCAGGATTCTCCGATACAACACAGCATGCACCAATCCAATCACAATTGACGGAGAAGATTTGGAAGATGTAAAAACCTTTACATATTTGGGCAGCATCATTGATGAACATGGTGGATCTGATGCAGATGTGAAGGCGCGGATCGGCAAAGCAAGAGCAGCATATTTACAACTGAAGAACATCTGGAACTCAAAGCAACTGTCAACCAACACCAAGGTCAGGATTTTCAATACAAATGTCAAGACAGTTCTACTGTATGGGGCAGAAACCTGGAGAACTACGAAAGCCATCATCCAGAAAATACAGGTGTTTATTAACAGTTGTCTACGCAAAATACTTCGGATCCGTTGGCCGGACACTATTAGCAACAATGAACTGTGGGAAAGAACAAACCAGATCCCTGCGGAGGAAGAAATCAGGAAAAAGCGCTGGAAGTGGATAGGACAAACATTGAGGAAAGCACCCAACTGCGTCACAAGAAGGCCAAAGGAGAAGAGGAAGACCAAAGAACACATTACGCCGGGAAATGGAAATCGGCATGAGAGAAATGAACAAGAATTGGATGGAACTAGAAAAGAAGGCCCAGGACAGAGTGGGTTGGAGAATGCTGGTTGGCGGCCTATGCTCCATTAGGAGTAACAGGCGAAAGTAAGTAAGTAAGTACGACTTCATAACAATGACTAATCTCTCACACCTCGACATGGAAAATGAGCGTATTAATGTAAATGAGAGAATAACGTTCATTTTTTCCGTTGAAAATTCACACATTTGTATGGAAGAAAAAAGTTAGTATGAAAATGTTAAATACCTAATGTGATTAATAACTGATCATAAGGGAGGATATTAAAGTGAGTTATCTGCTTTCTCATTCCATGTTTAATACAAATAAAATATATTCATTAGGAATATGGTATCAAAATTACAACCAGGAGATTTTCAATGAAATTAAACTATCCAGTGGGAATGTTCGCTGTTTATATACTATGTAGTTTGCTTCAACAGAACAATCATTTAGATTCTTGAGAATACCACATTAATATTAAGGCATGATTTAGTCTGTATATCATGTAAGTTTTACGTAAATTTTACTTGAAATCAGTGAACTACATAACGTTTTCCAAGTTGCAACATCTGGATATCTAGATAATTAAAGAAATTGAATAGAAACCAAATCCTACCACGTGTCTACAAAATTTTTTGGCATCTAATAAGCAGTGGTCGACGTCTCTACATTAGTGGTACAATATTCGTCTACTGATAAATATTAAAATGATGTCCTCAGATATCAGTTCAAAATATCAATCCAGGTTTAACTGGCGAAAATTCATGTTTATTTTTTATAACTTATACACTTAAATTAGCTATCCGTTGCTGTGATAACTGACGATATATTTGGAGCGACAACATCTTGTAAATTCCTAGATCGAAATCACGGAACAATACTGAATGCTCCCACCTCGCAAAAAAGACACTAGCCTTATCAGAAAAGACACGGTCAGGTTGGGGCAACAGATATTACTCTTGAAGCTTGTGACCAAATATACTAGTTTGTAGACGTTTTGTCCACCGGTTTCACCACAGTCCTTTTAATGTCACTGTCTCGAGACCGGCACTACAGAACTCCATTTTGCAATTAGTTAGTTCATTCTCGAAATGATCATATTCAGTATATCTTATTCTGTTGATAAATGAAATAATCTTTCAAACTCGAAATAACATACTCTTGCAAATTTGCCAACAGTAGTAGATTCTCGTTTATCAGACAATTCATGGTCCGATTGTCAAGATTACTTTAAACGATACGCTGAACATAGCAGAGTATGTGATAAACAGTAGAATTTTATCCAAAGTATTCGTAAATACCATTTTATTTTCTCAAACCTTTGAATAACCAATATTCAAAATATCTAACAATCAAACACACCGGTCAATGAAGCTACAATACAGTATGACTGATGAAGCCTCCCAGATTTCTATGAATTATACAAAATATGCAAAACAAAGAATGATACGCTAACTTCAAAACTACCATTTTAAAAAATCAATCATATGCCATCTTTCGAAATACAACAGAACTCTATGAAGCAAGGTATAGATTTAGAAAACATATATTGAGAAACGAATATTTTTGGGGTTAACCCACTAGGACCAATAATGACTTCGTTTAAATACTCTTGTCTTTCTAATGAACAAAATGACCACATACGAGTAAATGTATAAGTTACCAATATTACCATTTTAACTTGGTAAATGATACATGTACACGATTAGATAATCAACAATGAATTGAAATTAATCAAATGTTTAAGCTGATAAGTTTGTCATTTGGTTTTAATGTTGAATACAAATTCAGTGGTAAAATTTGACGATCGTACTATAGAAACAAATGTGGAGATTTACAAAACAACGTTAGCTACTACTTAGGACGATAGTAAGATTGATTTCTAGAAAAAACGTCTGATCTACGTTGTTCATACTGTAAAATACATTAAGTGATAACTAGCATTGAAATATAAAATGAATGTTTCTTGTATCTAACTGACTGAATACACCTGAACTGAACTGAGAACTGAACACTCTCACAAGAAACAATATAGTTCACTAATATGAAGCTGAAAAAACTTGAATCCGATCTTAGGGTTATCAAGGTACCAGTTTTACGTAGTCAGTTTCAAGGAATGGATTTTATGTGCAATGATGGCTCGGTGATACTATCTATGATTACAAACTGAAGTAGAGATGAAGCGAAATTACAACATGCAAACCGGTAGTTGAAAGTCAAGTACTTCAACTACTAGGTCACTATTTCACTATAGTGAATATGAATACGTCCTATCAAATTTTATTTTAACTTTATTGTTAGTAAAAAATATACTCATAGCAAACATATACTACGAAATATTAATTTATATACATATAGCAAGAATACCTCAAAATAGCTCCTTAATACAAGCATCGCTTCTTCGCGAGCATTAATAATTTCAGCGAAATGTTGATCGGATAATTGACAACCACAATTGACGCTATATACTAAGTCTGTTAGCAAACGAATAGCCATTCGTACAGTGATTAAACGAATACGACTTTCTGTAATTTTAAAAATAAAATACAGAAGAATAGAATGCATAGGAAAGGTTAACTTAACGAAAATCTAACCGTATTAATATCAAGATTTTAACATGCTGTTCTGTATAAATACAATTGATCGTCTATTTCAAAAAAACAACCAGAAATAATACTGGTCTGGGGATATTACTTATCTAGTTAGGTGAGATGGTAGCATGTACAACTTACACAAGTGAACAGTAGGATGACATCGATGTTTGACTGTATACCTTCAATTAGCTTCATTCATTAAAGTTAACAAATTTATTATGAAGTGTCAAACACTTACTCCTGTTACACCTAGCGGAGCATAGGCCGCAAGTGTTAAATATAATCCACCGAAATGTATATTTTAAGGCATTATTTTTTGTTACAGTGTTATAAAACATTTTCGGGAGAGAACCAGTTAGTATTACAACATGAATACATGTTACTATTGGCTTGAACATTTGAACATCGTGCATCCATTTAAGTACATAAAAAGTAATACGAGGAAAGTACGCGTTTAAACATTACATCCCAATCCATTCTAATTTATTTATATGACTGGGGTGCGTATGGTGAGACTTTTGTTGATAAAACTCATAAAAATAACCCCAAGAGTATAAGTTGGTTGCCTAAACATCGTTTCCTCCCTTGGCTAATTTATTTAATCTAACTTGAACAGTCACTAGTACATTCAAGTCTTCACAGCATAATTTAAAGCCTTATAGACCAATAGTGCATGGAATATCATTGAATTAATGGTATTTGATGTGTGGGCGAGAATGATAATGATTGGTTGTCTGCTTAGTCAAACAGTAGATAGTCTAACAGGTGTCAGATGAGTTATGTATTCCCCTATCCTTATAATTATTATGATTGATTGTTCATTATTGTTGGATTGTGTCGGATTTTGGTGTGGAAATATACTTACGTTCTAGTCAGGCTAGTCACGTGCTCTTGATTTGAATTGTGTTGAAGTTCTGTAGAATAGACACTGGAAGGGAATCTAGTGTAGATATTCGTCTAAGGTAAATTAACGTCCCATACGTGTAAACGTGGAAATCCAACCGTTATAGGTATTCTACGATATTTTTAGGTTTAGACTAAATCGACAATGTACAGATATACTTCTTCGACTATTTAATCAAGAACCAGACATAAACAATAAAAACATAATAATAGTAGGAAGAATTTATTTACAATATCAAAGTAGTCCATTAATATATGATCCTTCTGACTGTCTATCACAACTTACATTGTCTGGATACATTATACTCAAACATCTCTTTTTACTGAACAAGAATAAAAAAATGATTATTTACAGTTTCATTTGCTAAACACAAAGTATATTGAGAGTAGTTTAAACAGTTTTATCACAATCGATCCCTTCAACGTAAGTAATAAACTCCTATTTGTAGTTGAACATTCAATACTCTAACCTACATATACAAATCATACCATACATTTAGCACGGAAAAACATTCTAAAAAACCGAATTAACAAAATACATACGTATACTTTCAATTAGCATTTCTAACTATATCAATTATGAAGTAGACCAATGAAATTTGAAAATCCTTACATCATATATGATGATATGATCAATCACACAGAAACAATAGGTAGTGATCCAGAAGACATCTAATTAACTAACTCACAAACATTGAAACAACTAAGAGTATTTTGCACAACCAATACATACACAAACATTTTATTTAGTGATGAATTATTACTACCCTATAAGAAGTGCAGAGGATGTGAAACGGAAAACGGTAAATACGAAACAGTAAAATAATAAGGTCAAAAAGTACAAATAAGCTGCTGATATACGAGAAGAAAGTATAGAAAATAGTGAAATGGAATAGATGACTTCTTAAAAATTCCAGTAGCACAACTTCTATCTAGACTAACAAAGATTAAATAAGTGAGGAGTAAAAGGAACGGTAGACCAATACGCACCATTCACTGTAATTGATGTTGCAATTTTAAACAGTAATTTATATGCCAAATTCATGAATATTTATGAAACTTTTAAACGATATTTTGTGTAAGAAGGAGAGAACTACTGTTACTACCCGCATGTTAGTCCAATTAAGAGTATGTATGAAGCGGTTTGTATCTGTAATCCAATGACTGAGACTAGATCGATTTAACCACTGAGATATCGACGAAAACATGAAGCAATAAAGTAAAAAAAATGAGCACGGGAGAATGAATGTTGATAATATTGGAAATTCTAAAGATGAAATGTATATCCAACCAGACAGTCTATATAGCAGATTATTAGTTATCCAAATGATGGGATTAAAACCCAATCGTATATATCTCGATATTATATCACACACCGAATGGTTTAAACGTAAATTCACAGAAAACTGTAAGTAAAATTATTCACACAACCACATCCGACACAAAATCGACGTTTCATATCATCATATGCATGTGTTGGGAACACTTCGTGTCATACACCAGTCGATGAAGACAAGACATTTTTTGCATTGATTGAGACGGCTTAGATACTTATGCAATAATTCATCCTGGTATCCGACTATGAGATGATGAGACTACATAGTACAAAATAAGGATGATCACTTCATGACCTAACTCAAAATATAAACCTTGCACAAGTTAAACCTTTTATTGACTAATTTTCATTGTGTAATTTTCAACATCGCATTCATTTAGTTGGCCTCCTGCTATTATTATGTCGTTAAATGTGACAACCTGAACTGTAACACTTGCGTGAAGGTCCTGATATATCTATTTGCCTATCATTGTTATTTCTAAGAATTTCAGCAGACATTGTTGTCATTTACTAGTTCAAATGCTGTCATTCTATTCAGACAATCAACCGTAACTATGCTTAAAATTTATACAATGCATAAATGATGCAGTTTACTCATTACTAAAATGAATAATCATTTCAAACATGATCATGAGTGAACACGAAGAAAATATACTACCATGATTACAATGCAAAAAAACACACATTTTTACATAATGAAATATCAAAACAGTAACTATTTACTCACCAGCTTTACATGCGTCACCAATTAATTCAATAAGCTTTGTGACAAGTGTATAATTATACGATGGTTCATTTTTCTAATATACAGGACAGAAAGACAAGAGGGTAGAAAATATAGACAACCAAAAATATTATACTAAAATAAGAAGCAATTTCTAAATAAAATAAATGAATTATAGCTGGTATTTCTTATCAATCAACGTATGTTTGCAGTGTAAATTCATTCAGTAATAAGATGAAGAATAATTTCACGTTTGGTGGAACAACTGAATAGTTAGTTCTGGGCTTATCAGGTAGAGATGGAAAATCAGTTAATGAGGTTACGAACAATTATCGACTGAGATGAACAGATCCAGCCATTATCCACTTGAATGTGCTACACTGGTTAGCGTAAGAAGTTGAAAAAAACGTTGAAGGTGACTAGATGAAGCTATTGGTTGTTGAACTGAGCTGTGCCAGGCGGTAGACTTCCTGTTTAGAGTACAATAGATAAAGGTAATGGTTTGTTGAAGATCTTAAATTACATAGTTTGAAACCAGTTGAATCAGAGCAAAACTATTCATTATGCACCTCCCTTTATATATCAAGTCTTAGCATTATTATATACTTTCCATTTCCCGATTTCGAGTTCTTTTCAAACTATATATTTGACTCTCCATATTATTTCCGATTACATATTTCCTTTTTTGTTAACTTCATGTCTAGACACACTGTTACAAGGTGTAACAACTTGGACCGATTAACATCTATGCCAAAAGTTACTAATGGACTAAGTTGCAGTCCTAAAAAACACGTGTTCTAAATAACACCCAACTGAATAACTGTTGATTTACAAGAGACACAACTGATTCGGTGTATTCTAAATCCATAAATAGCGGAAATTCACTTCAATCGTTGCTTTTCAATATTCCATGATGATATGGGAAGATTACATGGATGATTACATTTCTGTTTGAGGAAATGTAGAAGTTTTGAGAAATGTATACATTTGTTCCCAGCTTTCAACTAAGGATGATAATGGTGATATGTGACATTCACTAAATACAATATACTAGAGGCATCGATGGCCATACAACATTGAGGTCAGACTTTGTGATCGACAAACTCTAATCACCAATAAAACAACAGGAACAAATTGTTTATATAGGATTCCTTAATTCTTCTCCAATTATAAAAATCTACATATTTCATGTATGTGGAAAAAGTTGTAACTTTTGAAGTCACAAGTTGAATGCATCGATTTTAATGTTATTATACTCGTTGCTAACATTGTTTATTTTAGATATTTTACGGGGTATAAAGAAAATTCCAATATATTTTAGGTAATATCAAATTCCATGTGAAAGAGATTTATAAAATAATCAAAATTAGTAACGTATACTTTTATAAACTCTTACTATATCGGGACCGTTTAATTGGGCAAGTTTCAAAGTAGCCAAATCAACACCTAGGAAAGTTTTTAAATACGAAGAAATACATTGCGGAGTGAAAAAGTGAGCAAAAGAGGAACAAGTATACATACACATAAACTCTAATGTTCCATACATATGCAATAAAAAGATAACCTTGTATACATGTATAGTGATCCAAGTTGTAAGAGCACGCAGCTCAACAAAATGAAATTACCAGGATGAAAACAGTATTAATACTAGTAGTAGAAAAAAATTATGTATGACGAGTATGATTCGAAACATATTTTGCGAAATAAAGTGTATAAAATAATTCAGAGATTCAGTTAGTCAAGATCTAATGGAACACGAAAAATAAATGTAGGGAGAGATTCCGAATCATATCATCTGATGTTTCATACGAATGTCTAGGACAATCACACGGACTCCAACATGACAGTCGCGTGCACCTACCAACATAACTCCTATTAATAGTTAGTGAACATCTGGACCGACGCCATGTTTTAATTTAACCTTGCTAGCTAACCTTTACAAAATATAATCAACACGGCTAAAAATATCGTCACGCTTAAAAATATAGTAACCAAAACGATCTAACACTAAAGGAAACTTTGCTCTTATAGATCCCCAAACATGCAGCTTTTTACGTAGAAACATGCGTATGCATTGCACTATCTCTAAATTAAACCGAAGAGCCAACTATCCCGATGATTTGTTTGCTTTGACTACATTATGATCACCATTTTCCCCTAACTTCGCTATCATTGAACTTCGTGGTAAGATTACATAAACAATATTTCCTTAATAAACAACCACTCAACAATCAATCCCATATGTCATGGGAAGGGGAAGTAACTTGGTCACTGACTTTAATATTATAGCTGACACGTCAATGACTACGTTGCTGAAAGATCTACTAATACAATATTATATTTAAAAAGTAAGTTACGAAAATAGTAACAAGAATATTCAGTAACTGTAACAAAAACGACCAGTTGCCACCCAATATAAACGCATTCATTCTCTTATTTTTACCAAAAATATACAATAAATTATTTTATTTTAATTGTAAACGAAGTAAAATTGTATCTATGACTTAAATATAAGTTATGTACAAAGCTGCTTATAAAATGACTTGGATAGATTTAATGAGACTTAGTATGCCAATTAACAATAAGGAACAAAAAACCGATTGAACAGACACGGAAACAAAAGACTATTCTTCAATTGTCAAGCTAAAGTATCTCAAAAATAATTTATTAAACACTTTTAAAGGAAATAAAACTTTCGAAGAAAACGTGTTTTTCTCTATGATAATTTAAAATAATGTTTAAACATTGTTACGTAACTTAAGCTATGTATATGCAATACAAAGACGTATTCAAATGCAAACAGAAACGATACATTAACTGTATACTAAGTCAACAACGTAATCACTTTTTTATTTGATTGAAATATACAGTCACATTTCCGATTTAATATATGCATATAAAGTAGAATTTAGGTAAAATGCTGTAATGAACATGAAGCAAAGATACAAACCCATTGATGTAAATTAAATTTAAAAAATCAGGTTCATGTACAAAACATCCTGCCCAATGACTGATGATCCAATCTAGCTAACTCAATTAAAACAAGTAGAGAAGAACTCGAACTTACGACTCGATAAAAAAATCAAATCTTAATGAATACAATAATAAAATATTACTAACAACCGAATAAATAACAAATCATATGATGAAAGTAAGTTACATAAGGTGGTGATGAACATACGTTCAAGAAAAAGATATGAATTCATCAAATGAAAACCATTGTAAGATAATCGAGAAACTTATAATCTAAGGGAAGATAAAGAGTGAATACACTTGAACCATTGCGGATGATCCTGAGTTATCAGTCAAAGTCTCTAACCACTGGTCACCACTATAACTTCACTGACCTCAATCAGGTAGTCTGAAACTGTCTACAGGGCTCAGTTCAAAAGTCGGTGTCTTCATGGGCTAATTCTATGTACTTTTCATTTGTACATTAAATTAACCAACTGTGATCTGATAATGTCTTTCATCAAACGATTACCAACTCAAAACCTAACCAGTTGATCAATAATCCCATCAATAACCAAATGTATGGATTCCAATTTAAATGGTTGAATAAAATTGGGATCATTTTACTTCTTATTTAAAAATATAAAGAGGAAAGAAGAGAGAAATAATCCTATATAGAAATGTATCTTTGTTTAATTTTGTCACAAGCTACAACAGTAGGTCATAAAAAATATATTAAAATGAACAAGAATAAAAGAAAAATATGAAATCCATAAGCATAAAGAGGTAATGAGTAATAAAGTAACACCAACATAGAGAAGCCAAGAACAAATATTTCTAGGTTGATTAATGAATACAGTGGTCTTGAGTGCTGTTAGAGGTATGAGGGCGGTTATCACTTCCCAGTTGCCCACACCGTGGAAGGGTTGTTCTGGAGGTACCTGAAAAAGAAATTGGATTAGAGGTGGTCTTAGTGACCTGGGAGCGTGAACGCAGTGCCCAAGGGATAACTGTTTGAGGTCGGTCACACACGACCTTTTTATGAGTAATTTTTGTGTTAGCTCTGTACTTGTTGAGACCTTACCGCCGGAGACGGAAATCCGTGAGGTAAGGCGAGGTGTGCATTTTAGGGTCGACCTTTTCTAACCCCACCCCTCCTTAAGGGAAGGCAGCATCGCTGTCATGCTGGTTGTCTGAAGGAAACACCTTACTGCAGTCACACCTCTATGCAGTCAGCAGTACGACTTCGCCTTCGGACCTTGGGTCTGTTGCTTTTAGTCTTACCACTCTTCAACCGACCTGTCTGACATGGTAGGACCTTGAGGAACGGTTGTTCAAGCCAGTATACCTCGGTTGCTTCATCACGATAGGCAAGCCCGACCACTACGTCTAGGTAGCAACAACGGTCGTGAAATGTTTCTATGCTATTGTGATAGATTACTAACTGCTGATTTAAATGGTCAATGACTTCAAGAATCGATTATTTAGCTTGACGGTGACCACATCAGATATTTTTTTACATTTCACTTCAACTTTACTTACAATACTGCATCAAACTAAGCGACAGTTTAAGTTGACACCTCAGAGGGTGAATACTGAATATAACTGAATATACTTCTTACAGATTTACCCATAAATTTTATACTGATGAAGTTACAGTTATAAGAAGATTCAATTTCGAAGTTTATTCTGATAGGATCTATCAATTGCTTTGTAGGCTAAGATTTGGAAATATGAAAAAAAACCTTTTGCGATAGGAAAAAGAGGCGTAACACCTCACCTTTATTTGATTTTATAGCGAATAAAAGGAGAATAGAGAATATAGCATCTTGATCTGAACCGGAACCAATTTCCAAAGAACGAAATAAAGATCTTAAAAAAAACACGGCCAGATAGATTTGATAAGTCAGCATCGATCGTTTTATCGTTTTGTTCAAAAACGACTGATGAATTAGATGATGAATCTTCAATTTTAACTGGGATTTTTCAATAGATGCATCTAAAAGAAAACAATTAAGAAACAAATGGACGTTTATAAAGTTGTTAATTTACAGTAAAACCTGTAATCAAGTCACAAGGTCATAAATACAGGATGAAAACAGAGTTAAATGTTATATTCTAGAACAACATATGGCTAAAATTTGATGAAGACCTAGAGATAATTAGTCAGTTAATCAGTTATGAACAACATGGAACCCTGTATATATACATAATAAGAACAACTGTCCAAATTTTCACAATTTGCATAAATTCAATGAGGCAGGAAGTTAAAAAAACCGCGAAAGGTGATCAGACGAAATAATAGTACCAATATAGTAGAATTGTGGTATATGCTACTTATGTCTGCTGACATGTAGTATGTAACACCAATCAGGAGTGGAATGCCTGGTAGCAGAAGGTTGAGAAGATCGAACCGAAGAGAATGGCAATGTAAACAGACAGTAATTGTAATAGCAATGAAGGAACGATGTAGTTTGATACAGATGATTGAGGATTTGCGAATGAAATATTTAATGTGTGGTTTTCACATTTTATGAAAGGACTGTAACTTTGTATTAAATAACAAATTAGTTGCCCATACATGAGCGTTCATTCACTGCAGAACAATAAACATATGAAATATAATAATTCAGGAAGAAATGAGTTAAACTATTTAACTGAAATGACACTAAAAATTAGAACTTAAAAGTACATGGAGAATGAATTCCATTTGATCCACTGTCACCAATTTCGAGTTATATTACCAAAGGATTTCAATCATAGACTATTAATTATCTCTTGGATCACATTCATGAGCTTTGCACCTGCTAACAAAACTCATATCAACGCTTAGTGAAATCATGGATTGGTGTGACTTCTTGAGATTGTTTATCATAAGCGTGCTTCCGAACTACTACTCTACTACACATTATATATCACCAAACAGTAGGTGGTGACTACAACTTGGGAAAATCATTTAACTTCTCGTGATTAATTATCATACTCAAATAAGGTCATAACTGACGTTATACAACATTGGAATATGTGAAAACATTTTGATGAATAAATAAAGAAATTTATCTTGTCTAGGGTTTCTTTAAAACTACCTAACCCCTCCCCTCCCTAAGATCAACTTGGGTGTTTTTTCTCCTACAAACGCGGAAGAACAGGCTTAAACGTAATATATCTTTGAATACACTTTCTTAAACGTTTCATTGAATAGCATAGTATTCTAAACAGATGAAAGATAATTCTGAAATCATAAAAAGAGGTATTAAAAGACGATATAACTGTGAGTAAAAGATTTAGTATAAATAATTGTAAAAAAATGTCCTCCATAGAAATACCGTTAATGTATAAATTAGAAATAACAATTAGCTGAAAATGTAGTCAATCATAGTTGGTCGTGAGAAGCTGACATAAGCGGAATCGCCGGGTGTTTTAAAAATAATTCATTCAAATAAGCTAACTAATATGCACGAAGACAAACAGTCACATCAATTAATTTGTTGATGAAAACAATCAGAAATTAAATATTGATTAAAACTGATTATTTGATTTAGATCATTGAATATATTAACAGACAAGTCCTTATAACAGTGAATTATATACCTAATGCTATTTATCCGATACTCTTGTGCACAGTGAAGTTCATTACACGGATTCATGACGAGAATTGTTTGATGGTAAATCAGTTTACTATAAGTTATTTTAAAATCATAATTCTTCTATGTTTTCTGTATCCCAACGCGTATTCAATTGATTTTCATTGGTATTTAACTCCGTGAGCAACAAAACACCCACAAGTCATAAGAATTCGTTTTTTAAAGTTGATTGTAATCTAGAGATGTGAGTGCAAGACAGCTTCCATATCCTGTGATAAATCATCTGACTTTGGTTATCACTTAGTCACATTAAAAGGATGATTTACTAGTTTGATATGTGATCTTTACTGTTGAAATAATATTTGGGTATCACCTTAATGAGACTTTCTATTTAGTAAATATACAATTAGAGTCATAAACCCCATTACAAAACAGAACGAAAATGTTCGAAGATTTTACTTTTCAGAAACACAATCGGAATTTATGCGAAAGAATTAATCTGATAATCAAGAAAATATGTTAACATGTATGTGTTTAGTCGATAGAATTCATCGAGTACAGTTTGTGACTGTTTTCTCTTGAGCATGCAGCCTACATGATTGTTGTTAGTCACTCCACTTATGTCACACATATACGGAAGATTTATACATTACCTAATCCAAACTACACAACCTCGTATGTATTCGGATTAGAGCTAGCGCACTGTCATTAGGTTACTAACAAAGTAACGCTAAAGAATAAACAGGGCATTTGCCAGCATGTAAGCCATGTTGAATTACCATATTGTTGAAACTCCAAATAGTTTAAACTACTCTAATTCTGTACAATGGTATCAACAACTAACCACGGGAACTGACATTTGGTATGAGTTCTATTACTTTGTGATCAGCAATTATTGTGACATGAACTAATTCGATTCCCACCTCGACACTAGACGGTTGGTGTAGAGGGGGTAAGTAGGAAGAAAGCTAAAGCGGTTAAATCAAAAAGTGGAATTAGTTCACGAAAACACCGACTTTTGAACTGAGCCCTGTAGACAGTTTCAGACTACCTGATTGAGGTCAGTGAAGTTATAGTGGTGACCAGTGGTTAGAGACTTTGACTGATAACTCAGGATCATCCGCAATGGTTCAAGTGTATTCACTCTTTATCTTCCCTTAGATTATAAGTTTCTCGATTATCTTACAATGGTTTTCATTTGATGAATTCATATCTTTTTCTTGAACGCTATCTTCTATAACTAATATTTACTGCTACCACTAATACTGTTACTACCTACACTACACTGATACCTCACTGTGTTGAAGTGATATAGCAACTTCAACCGATGCAAATGTGCCAGGTTCTATGTACGGCTACATATTACCGACTGATTGAAATTAACTCTGTGACTAACACAATATTACATCAATATGATTAATTGTGCATACAATATAATCAACTGTACGGTTAATCTGTCTTGGTAGCCTACATTACGCTAAAAGGATGCTCATTTACATGTTTATTATCTTCTAAAGTTACCATCTAACTTTAGCAACCCTTTATGACAGTAAAGCATTACCACCGAAAAGTACAATTATATTTTGAACCTATAACATATTGGTGGATATCATAAGAGCATCATAGTTAATGTTAGAGTAAAGGAAAATGTCGATTATCCTTTCTTACAATAATTTAGCCAATGAAAATAACTAATAATCCGAAAGTCAAGTTAACTGATATTTAATTTATTGGGATAATGGAAACTAATATATAAAAAACTACACATCACTTGAATTCATTGAAAATAAATGATCAACTTCCTTTCATAAGCAGATCAATAATCAGGACGGAAAATGTTTCACAGTACATCAATTTACTGGTAATTAAACAAAACTATGTCGATGATGATGTGACGATAACAATAATTATTATAATTATAACATTCAGAAAAACAAACCCATACACGAATCTTTACAGCTGTTAGGAGATTGTATTTGTGAACCGCCTGGTGACAGATCAGATGAGCGTTTTTCACATGGATTTGAAGAAATGGATGACTGAACCTGTTTATTCATGAGGGTAAAAATATGCAGAAGAATTTTTTCATTATGGGGTAAGTAAAGACAAAATAAACTTACCAAGTGTTGTGTCTGAGCGATTGATTAATATCACTTGCTAAGTTCTTCAATCAGAATTAAGATTACATTTTCTCTGATACACTTCTGTTACTCCGTTTATAACCTAGCGCCCTTAGTCTTGACTAATTATACATTCTGATCGACACAGTCAACCTTAAGCCATCGTCAGTCAGTCAGTAACAACGTAGAACTTCGTACGTACGTACATCAGTTCGAGTTGCCATCGTAAGCTTATTGGTCGGCCTATATGCAATGACTTCAATCCTCAACCTTAAGTCTGAGAAGAAAGCCGTAGCCAAACCTCTATACTATATTTTAAAAAGCCTCTCCAGCAGCTATCTCAAGCCCTCATTAGCTTATATGCCCGACAAAACAGGACCAAACCAACAACATAAAATGGAAAATCATCGTTATTACACAAACATGTCAAAAGTGACTGTCAACTAGGAAAACTGTAAATAGTTGATTAGCGATAATATAGGAACAACAAAACGTACAGTAATATGTAGTGGGTCAAACGGACGCTTACAACAATTCAGTCAGTCAGTAACAACGTGGAACTTCGTACGTACATACGTTGGTTCAAGTTGCCATACCACATTAGCACACAGATACAATTATAGATTCAAATTCCGTAGTGGTAGAGGTAGTAGTCAAAAGATGTTTTTGTTTATGCTTAAAGCTAGTATTTGCAAGAAACAAGCGGTTATCTGAGCATAGCTGCAACAGACGGTCGCCATTATCTGTTCTTTGAGCTACGACACCATAAGATCCACCCAGGTGTCTTTCCCTTTCGCTTAGTTTACCTACTTGAGCATTAAAGTCACCTGCCATTATTACTACATCCGAGCGCCTAGCTTTTCGGAGAAGGTCCGAAAGCTTTCTGTAAAACTCATCTTTTACATCATTTGTGCTGCAGTCTGGGAGAATAGGCAGAAACGACGAAGAGGCAACGACGAGTGTCCCTATCTTTCCGAGTCCTTATTGTTCCGTTTAATCGGACAGCGCATAAACGACTGTCCACTGGGATCCAGTCTAAGAGAGCTAGTTCTGCCCTAGGACTCAATGCTACACCTACGCCAGCGAGGCCACGGGAATTAGCATCAGGGCTTCCAGATACACGAAGCGTAAATCGAGTTGGTTCGTTACTTTGACATTGTGAGGTCAAATGAATGACACTACTCGGACCCTGTATGCGCGTTTCGGAGACGCAACACACATCGATGGCGCGAGATTCTAAAGTCCTAGCTAAGGAAGCCTGTTGTCCTATTTGGCACAGTGTTTGGACGTTGAAAGCTCCTACATGTAGTTTAGAGCGTGGTTTCAGGAGACCAAGGAATAACGTTCCGCGTACTAGAATCGTTTGCCCTAGCGGTGCGAGGTGATAAAGGGACGTGAGAAGGGTTAGTCGTGGCAATAAGAGATTTATCTGGATGTAGGAGGGATTTGAATGTGACCAACTTGGTCTTGTGTGCTGTTACGGGTTTACAACAAACGGAATACAAAAACACAGTCCGGTTACTCAGTAGTTACGCAATGTAAAAATAAACAACAATATTGATGAAGATAATCTAAACAGTAAGAACCTCTCCAGTACTCGTTCTGTTATAACATTAGCAAGTAAAGACTAATGGTATTCCTCAGACACTAAAAATGAATTAGATGTAGCCAGCTGGGTTCGAATCCATCACGCAGAGGCTGATACGTGAATTCTCCAACCACTAAACCAATGTTTCAGAAAAACACTATAAATAACATCATAAGAAGTTCCATATTGAAATAAGATGAAAAATTTATACATTAGTCCGATCAGAAATCAGCCAAATGAGAAGTGCACGCGATTGGACCAGAAGTGGTTTACATTTCGTAGGAATGATAAAACATACCACTGGTGGCTTTATTTTCTGAAGGATATACGTATGTATGTATATACGTACAAGCCTATTCGGTTAGTCAGTAAACTTTCTTTCTTACTCTCAGCCTTCTTCACTCGAGTAGCCGGTTGGGTTTATATTCACAAGAAGACTGAATAACAGTATCAACTATCGAAAACTGTGGGTCACAACAAAAATATTTAACAATTAATTGATTCCTGTACTGTACTGCTATACTCCTTATAACTTTATTCACGAGTGAATCCTTATTATACCTAAAATCATCGTATTCACAAATGACAGTCCTGATACATTCCAGAGTTTTAGAAATCCGTGAAAACTAAGAAATAAATGCTATTTAACTTTCAGAGTGATATAAAGTTAAACATACCAGTGCCTGATATAATGGCGCGAGTAGTATGTAAGTTTAACTAATGGGAGTATTGTTATATTTTTACTGCGTATTTAGTAGACCCTTGGATTTTTGTGTCCCTATATTTGAGCTGATGTAAACTAGACCACTAAAGCTGTGATTAGTGGAGTTCAATCCGTGCCGAGTAGAGACAGGTATCTACTTCAGGCAATGGATTAATGGTTACGCAACCATGTGTCACTGATTGTCCCAATATAAAAAAGGGGTCAAAATGATCCTGTGATAACCATAGAGGGATTAGTTTGACTAATACAGCGTCTAAAATACTAGCCTCAATGATTATCAGATGCCTAACAAAAACTCGTGAGCAGCGAACACGAGAAAATCAGACTGGCTTCAGACCTGGTCGTGGCTGCACCATTCGTCAGACCTTAGAACAGAGGCATGTTTATCAGCGTCCGACAATAATGGCTTAACTTAAAAGCAGAATTTGACTCTGTAGATCGACAGGTTCTGTGGCAGTGTCTGTCATTGAAAGGTTTACTTCAGAAGTATATAAACTTTGTGAAGATTCCTTTTTCGAACACTAGTCTAGTCAGAGCTCATGGCGAACTGTCATCTGATTTTGTAACACTAAGTTGTGTCCGACAAGGCTGTCCAATATGTCCATTTCTGTTTAATTTCATCATAGACTTACTACTGCAAATAACGTTCTCGTCGACTGAATTTTCAGGAATTGGTCTCCTTACAGGAGGTCCACTTAACAAGTTAGAATACGCAGATGACATAGTCCTGTTTGGTGAAGACGCTGATAAAATGTAGTTTTTTGGTAGCACTGAACAACAATGTCGTGATGTTTGAGATCCGTTTCTCCCCCTCTAAATTCAAATTGTTGATTCAGGACTGACTGGCCTGCGTCAACACCTAAACTAAGAATAAAGAGTGAAGTAGTAGAACGCGTTGACAACTTCACTTATCTTGGAAGTCTGATCAGCCCTAATGGGTAGGGCTCTAACGAAATCTCAGCACGGATTCGAAAAGCTCGTTTGGCTTTCGCCAACATATGTCACCTATGGTGAAGGCGAGATATCGGTCTATCGATAAAAGGACGAGTATACTGCGCAGCAGTCCGTTCTGTTCTACTTTACGGCAGCGAAACGCGGCCATTAAGAGTATGAGATACTCGTAAGTCACTAGTATTCGATCACATATTTTTTTGGAAATATTACCAACATCTTCTGGGATCACCGGATAAGTAATAGTGAGGCTAGACGCAGGGTATCAGAGCATGATGGTAAACTAGTTGATAGGATTGTGAATCAACATCGACTGAGATGATTGAGCCACGTGTTACGTATGCCCAAACACCGATTAACACAGAGCGCAATGCTGACTATCGTTGGAGACGGTTGGAAGAAAGTTAGGGGCGGCCAAGCCAAAACGTGGCATCAGTGCTTGAAGTCACTAACTTCTGGTCTGAGGCATGTTGGTAGATGCAGACTATGTGGTTGGGGTCCGCGTGACTATCGTAACCAATGGTTGGAGACTCTTGGTGACATGGCTCAGAATCGACCACAATAGCGTAGGTGTATACGCTCTTTGTCTTCCCTTAAACAGTGAGATTAAAATTACCTTATGCTTTTCATTCTACGAACTAATTTTTTTTATTATATTCAATCCTTCTTTTATATATTACTACCATTGAAGTAACTACTTCTATGAATTTGGTAATCATCTTGCCGTGCTAATGAGGTGTGGCAACTTGAACCGACGCATATATATGCCTGGTTCTACGTTGTAGATGACTGACTGAATGTGATAAAAAGTATATATGCATAATAAATATGAAACGAATATGAAATTAGTATGGGAAGTCTAAAGAGACTGTTGAACTTTCACGGTTTACATTGCGGACTGATCTTAGACAACCATTGAAAAACAAGAAGCACTGAGTAACCGTTTCGTCTTAGTGTAGGACTCCTCAGCCGTACTCGTCCGCAGCTCTAGACCATTGAGCCGACAACCATTAGTGTATGTGTCTGGTCTTAATCGGCTCGCAATATTGTGCGAAAACCCAACAATCTATACAAACCTTCTATACTAATAATGATCATGTGCTCATTAGCGACTAATTCTAAGAGTCCCAATGAGAAGCTGTGACTAATAGAGTTCATTCACATTGATTAAGAGACAGTTAATTACCGTATATAATGAAAAATGGACGCACAATATCACGAATTGTGTGAAGTTGGACAAGTACACACTAAGATGATGGTCCAGTTGGTTAGAGGATAATGCCTTCACCCCAAAACTGAAAGTCTTGGTTCCGATCATCGAGTGAAGTTCTGAATGAGTACGGCTGAGGAGTCCTATACTAAGACGAAACGGCTACTCAGTGCTTCATGGTCCCCAATAGTTGTCTCAGATCAATCCTCAGTGTAAACCATAAGAAAATGGAATTATTAAGTAACTGTAACTTAATGCATGTATAATGCAATACGATTTAAGTATTTCTGAAATAAACACACAGTCAGTCATATAGTATAACAATTTATAAACACATTATAATTGCGCAAAAACATGTAGACATTGTTTACATATTTTAACTATTTTTAGGACTTCTTCTATTATATTTTTATAATCGAAACTTCATCACATTTCATAATATTTCAAGGAAAAACATTAATTTTGCTCCAATTTTACGAATACGGCGGACGGAGGGCATACATGTATATAGAATAAGTACGAAACTATCACTTGCCTCTCCTAATTCAGTAAACCAGTGGTCCTTTACTCATTAACTTGCTATAAATAAAAATAATATATTTGTAATATCCCAATTAGTATAAAAGTTAGGTTTTTCTACTCATTGGGATACTACTAATATATAACTGCTCAGTTTATTTGGAATTCAAACCTTAGTAATGATACTTACAAACTCATTAACTTGCTGTTTTAAAATGGTTTGAAACCAGCAACAGGGACAATAAATGCACGCATGTTATCGTTCATATCTTGAGTTCAGTATTATCATTCCATACTCTTTACTCAGCAGTTTTATCTACTCTTTTTGAAATATATTCCTATATGTTTAGTTTTCTATTATCATTGGTACTATTATTATTCCCAATCATTGTCTTTTTTTAGCTCGTTAGTATTTTTGTTGTGCTAATGTAATATAACAGCTTACAGTAATCCATATCTGTGCCAGATTGTGTGTTGTTTACGACTGACTGACCTTATTTCTACGGCAAATATGAAGGAAATCCTACCATTTTTTAAAGTCGCGTCAACCAGATTTTCACGATACTCGAGACGAAGAAAACGTCAGAACTAATTGTGTCTTAAATAGAAGTTAGCTTTTCACCCATCTTTGCTATCAGTTAATATGACCTCCAATGATTAAAACTTCCATAATTTCATATTTTAATTCGGTAAAAATATTCGAAATGATGTGACAATTGTTATTTCTCGACCTGATCTTCACAAGAAATTACATGTGACTAAAACATATGTTTCTTTAATGTAAAAATTCATTAAATTTAGACAGTCATAAGTACAGATCATGGTGTTACCAAAGAAAAATAAATGAAAAATGTCCTAAGGTTTCATGAGTTATGTGAAGAAATAGAACATTTTCACTTTTCACCGCCTTCCAGTATAAAGCAGCCGACCATCAACCCTTAGATTAAACATTGGGACCACACTCCACTCATTTCAGTTCGAACAGCCGAGTAGTATTGTAGTGAAGGAAAGCACAGGGGAGGACAACCGATTATATTTAGCGCTGTGTTAATCGGTGTTCAGACATACGTAACACGTGGCCCAACCATCATTCGCTAATATCCTGCGTCTAACTTCACTATTACTTATCCGGTGATCCCAGCAAATGTTGGTAATATTTCCAGAAAAAATGTGTGATCAAATACTGGTGACTTACGAGTATCTTCTACTCTTAATGGCCACATTTCGCAGCCGTAAAGTAGAACAGAATGAACTTCCACGAAGTAAGTCTTCATACGTAAAACATGTAGCTCATAGGGAGGTATCTATGCTTGTACTTAGTAAATAAGTTCCATATAATTAGATAAAGCTAAACCCTATTGAATTCATATATTTAAACCAAACTATTCCATGAATGACCACTTGCCAAACCGTTGATTTTCACTGTCTACATAAAAAACATCATTTCCGTTGTGACGGCCCAATTGATTTGCGACTGTGCTAGCCAAGCTGTTAATCTTTGTCCACAAGACCAATAATCGTCTAGAATCTCAACTGAATGAACTTTTATAAAAAAACATGACGTACCTTAAGGGAACAAAACTACCATTGTATACACAAAATAATCGACGTAAATATAGTCTAACTACGAGTTATTTGTAAACTAATTAATGGATAAACAGTCAAGGATAGAAACATGTCGCAGAAAATAGATAATGATTATACACTTCAGTTAGTTAAAACAACGTTCTTATAACTAATACACCATTTTCATGCAGTACGATAGAAATTTTAAACACATCAGAAATCTGTATGATTAAAGGTTGACTATAATTTCCAAAGTAATAATAATAACAGTTAAACCCTGTCTATTTTAAACTCACGTGAGTTTCTGTATTCTTCTCCACTAGTTTTAGTGGAGCCACATTGGGTGGCCATAGAACAGACATCAATGTCGGTGTTACACCTTTCGCTTGAGTTAATCCATGTTCTAATGATTCACTAGGTTGAGAAAATATCAATGGATTTTTGGATGTCACTGAATGTATTAAGTAGGTAGTTAATCTTTGCCCAGGTGCTGCTTGGTCAGAAGCTCGTAAAGACACAGTGGCAGCAATTAACGTTTTAGCAATGATCATTGCTGGATCATCATCAGGTGCAGTATCATCAGTCTCCTCGTAATTTAAATTTCTTTGAAAACTTACAGAACAATCCTGAGTTGTGGGGTCATTGAAGACAATTTGTGAATTGGAACATGGTATATTACAAGGTATTATTAAGCCAGGCAATGTGAGATCGCCAATTAGAATAGCTTCCGTAAGTAAACAGATTAGTCGAGTATCACGTAGAAATAAATACACATGAATTAGTGTAAACACTGTCACGGAATAGGATAGACGAGGTCTACGAACCTTTCAAAATAAATAAATCAAAAAATTAGTACCGTTTCATTGTTATTAAAAAGAAACGAAAAATTGGTTAGATCGTAATACTTGTTATATAAATAAAGCCCGTCCCGTTATTATTATACTGTTGGAAACATTATAAAACATCATTATCAATGACTAACTTATCATCAATACAGTATCAATATTATGACACTAACTGTTAATTACTATAAAGATAATGATTCAATTCACTTAATTTTTAATTATTCAATCTTGGTTCTAGATGCCATTCTTTTGATTTAGAGTTTGGACAGCCAGATAACATCATCAACTTGCATCTATAAGATCTGCCTAAAACTCTAGTACATGAAGAAAATGCACGTAGTAAATAATGTGCATAGTTGTTAATAATCTTATATAATGCGCATAAACACAAATAGTTCTAAAAAACAACCTCATATTCTTTGAAATGCTTAAATACCACACAAATAATCGATCACTAAAATTCTTACTAACAATAAGATGCTACATATTCTCATATGATACCTAAGTAAACTCATGGACAGAGGTTACAAAACCATAAGCTGATTAGAATATTTTCTTCTCAAACAATATTTTGCAAACACTAATGTTTTCTCACAAGCACTGAGTCTTGCTTTTCAATGTGGTCTATCCAAGTAGCATAATGGTAAGATCAATATGAACAGTTTTCTCTCCTTAATCAAGACCTTAGCCATCTGGTGTGCATATTTGTTAGGTTTTACCGATCAACTTTTGTTCCAAAATGGATCCAAACTAAAGAGTTTAATAAATAGAGCATCAAACCGTTAACTGAACCCTATATAGGCTGTCTACTCGAACACTACTGGTCGAGTCAGAATTTATGGTGACCTGTCATTGAAATAGAAAACTTCAAGCGGTGTTCGTCAGCGTTATCTTTTTTCTCTATTTTTGTTTAACTTTGTGATAGATATCCTTCTACATATGACATTCATCATCTGACTTGTCAGGAATCGATCTTCTGCCAGGAAATTCTCTTGTTGGTTTGAAATACTCAGGTGATATAGTTCTGTTTGATGAAGACGCTGACAAAGTGTAAGGTATTCTGGCCGCCGTAAGCAACAATGTTGACATTTCTGGGATGAGTTTCTCTCCCTCCAAACGCAAAACGTTTCTTCAAAACTGGTTTATATCAACGCCTGAACTAGTTATAGGGAGTGAATTAGTTGGGTACGTCGATCGGTTCATTTATCTTGGAAGCCTCTTTAGTCCTGATGGGCTGGTGTTTGACGACATCTCAGCAAGAATTCAGAAAGCTCAATCAGTTTTGCCGACTTTCGTCACTTGCGGCATTGGAAAGATCTCCACCTGGAAACCAAAGGATGAGTTTACTGTGCAGCAGTTAGATCCATTCTCGTTCGTGCCTGCGAAAAGTGGTCATTTTAAGTAGAGAATATTCGCAGGTTACTAGTTTTTATCATTGATGTCTTCAAAGCATTGTTCATTTATGTTGGGATCATCAAGTAGGGAATTCTAAGGTTAGATGCAGAGTACTAGGTGGGTAAGGCAAACCGATGGATGAGGTAGTCAATCTTTATCGAATGAGATGGTTAGAATATGTATTGCGTATTCACATTCATCGAATTGTTCGATGAGTGATAATGGCTGTTGTAGGGGAGTAAGTTGAAAGAAAGCTAGTTGTAGCCAAACCAATACATAGCAGAAGTCCATGAAGATACTAACTGTCAGAGTAACCCTAGTAGGCCTTCTCAGATTACCGAATCGGGTTGCGAGTTATTGTCGCGACCAATGGTTAGAGACTTCGCATAACATGACTCAGAATCGTTCGCAATGGTTTGGGTGCATCCACTCTGTTTTCAACTCCACCTGTATCTCTTCTAGAGTTACTGCCGGTCCCAAGCCCGGGTAAAGGAGGAGGTTTGAGCATGGGGTCGACAATCACATCCCGTACAAAACAAGTTTGCTAAAAAACGCCAACCAGATTAAACAAATAAAAGCATTTAAACTCTACCCTGAGAGTTGAAGGAAGAATTATGACGCCTCATGCAGAAAAACAAAATTCTTAGGAAGTCACAAGACTGATGCTCATTCTAACAGCAAGAGCAACAATTTTTGTAGGGACATGGAACATCCTAAAAATGTGGGAGACCGGGAGGATCAATCAAATAGTTCAGAAAATGAGGAGATATAAATTGGCAGTACTCGGAATCAGCCCAACCCATTGGACCCAAGCTGGACAGAAATGGATAGATTCGGGAAAGATGCTGTTGTACTCTGGTCACGAAGAAGAAAATACTTAGCACACTCAGGAAGTGGCTCTGGTGTTGTCCAAAAAAGCACGTGATGCACTTGCAGGATGGAAATCTCACGGACTCGGAATCATCAAAGCATCTTTAAAAACAAAGAAGGAGGGACTTACAATGAATGTCAAGCAGTGTCATGCACCCACCAATGATACCAATGACGACAATAAAGGTCAGTTTTAAAGGAGGCTGCAATCAATCATAGCGAATTGCCTAAGTAAAGACCTGACCATCCTGATGGAAGACCTCAACGCCAAAGTCAGAATGGACAACATCAGGTGTGAAGACATCATGGGACAACATGGACTGACTAAAAGAAAGGAACGAGAATGGTGACAGATTTTCGAACTTGTGTGTATTCAACAATATCCCCACACAAACGCACACACAAAGCCACATGGGTCTCACCGGAACACACTACGGAGAACCAGATCAATCAGATTTACATCACCGACAAATTCAGATCAATGGAAGATGTGAGAACCAGGGGAGGAGCTGACATAGCTTCAGATCAAAACTAGCTAGTAGTTGCCAAGATGAAACTGAAGCTAAAGAAACAGTGGACAACGGGGAACCAACATTACATAGGTTCAATGTAGCCTTCCTTCGAGATACCGTCAAACTCAACGAATTCAAGACAACTCTCAACAACAAGTTCCGAACCTTACAGGATCTACTGAAAGAAGAAACTACTATGAACCGCAACTACAAAGGGATCAAAGAATCACCGACTTCAACAAGTCAAGAGGTTCTTGGCAGCAACAAGCATCATCATCATAAGGAATGGATCTCTATCAAAACCCTAGACAACATTCACGAATGAAACAACAAGAAGGTAGCAATTAATAACAGCCGAACAAGAGCAGAAAAAGTCAGGGCACAGGCTGAATACACAGAAGTAATCAAGAGAGTGAAGAAAAGCATTAGAGCTGACAAGTAGAAATGTGTGGGAGACATAGCAATGAAAGCGGATAACTCGGCAAGTGAAGGAAATATGAGACAACCATGTGATGCAACGGGGAAACCAGCGGGGAAATATAGTGAACCAGAGAGACCGGTCAAGAACAAAGAAGGCAAGCCAATCACCGAGATTCAAGAACAGAGTAACAGAAGGGTAGGATAATTCGAGGGACTCTTGAATAGACCAGCTCCACAGAATCCATCGGACATCGAAGCAGCACACACAGACCTCACTATAGATGTCACTCCAACAACGATGGAAGAAATCAGGATGATCATCAGATAAATCAAAAGCGGGAAAGCAGCAGGACCTGACAATATACCAGCTGAAGCTCTGAAGCCAGACATAGAAGTAACTACAGGTATGCTTCACGTTCTATTCAGGAAGATTTGGGAGGAGGAACAAGTGCCGACGGACTGGAAAGAAGGACACCTCATCAAGATACCAAAGAAAGGAGATTTGAGCAAATGTGAGAACTACAGAAGCATCATACTACTGTCAGCACCAGGAAAAATTTCCAACAGTGTGTTATTGAACCGAATGAAAGATTCAATGGACGCCCAACTTCGAGATCAACAGATTGGATTCCGTAAGGATCGGTCGTGCACAAACCAAACTGCGACACTATGGATCATCGTTGAGCAATCAATTGGATGGTACTCGTCACTATACATCAACTTCCTTGATCATGAGAAGACGTTTGATAGCATGGATAGAAAAACCTTGTGGAGCTTTCTTCGACACTATGGAGTACGTGAAAAAATCGTCAGCATCATCCAGAATTCATACGACGGACTACACTGCAATATCGTGCATGGACGACAGTTAACAGACGCGTTCCGATTGAGGACTAGTGTCAGACAAGGCTGCTTACTCTCCCCTTTTCTTTATCTTCTGGTGATTGGCTGGATTATGAAGGCCTCCACATCTGAGGGGAAGCACGAAATACGATGGACAGCTTAGAATCAATTAGACGATTTGGACCTGGCCCTCCTATCTCATACACACGAACAAATGCAGATCAAGACAACTAGTGTAGCAGCAGCCACTGCATCAGTAGGCCTCAACATGCACATATGAAAAAGCAAGATCCTCAAATAAAACACGGTGAACACCAACCCAATCACACTTGATCGAGAAGCTCTAGAAGATGTGGAATATTTCACGTACCTGGGAAGCATAATGGATTAACAAAGAGGGTCGGATGCAGACGTAAAGGCGAGGACTGGCAAAGCAACGGCCACATTCCCACAACTGAAGAACATATGGAACTCAAAACAACTGTCAGCCGACATCAAAGTCAGAATCTTCAATACGAACGTCAAGACAGTCCAACTGTACGGAGCTGGAACTTGAAGGACTACCACAACAATCCCCAAAAGATAAAGGTATTTCTAAGCAATTGTCTACGTAAGATACTCAATATCCGTTGGCCGGATACCATCGGCAACAGCCTACTGTGGGAGAAACCAAGCCAGCTTCCAGTTGGAGAAGAAATTAAGGACAGATGTTGGAGGTGGACAGGACAAACTTTGCAAAAATCACCAAACTTTATCACGAGGCAAGAGATAACTTGGAATCCTGAGGAGAAACGGAAAATGGAAAGGCCAAAGAACACACTGTGTCGAGGATTGGGAGCAGACATGAAAAGGATGAATAGCAGCTGGAAAGGATTGCCCAAAACAGAGTTAGATGGAGAATGCTGGTGGGATCCCTCCTCCACCTCATCAATCTATCAC